GTTCCCTTTTCACCACACCCTCTCTAGCAGCTGTTATTTTTTGAGTTGTTGATAACTGCCATTCTGACTGGAGTTAGGTGGTATCTCAGTGTGGTTTTGATTTGCATCTCCCTGATGATTAGTGAGGTTGAACATTTCTTCATGTGTCTGTTGGCTGCTCGGATGTCTTCTTTTGTGAAGTGTCTGTTCATGTCTTTTGCCATTTTATAATGGGGTTGTTTGTTTTTTTCTTTTCAGCATGTTTGAGTTCCTTGTAGATCCAGGAGGTTAAGCCTTTGTCCGACCTGGAGTAGGCAAATCCTTTTTCCCAGTCTGTAGGCTGTCTCCCTGCTCTCTTGATGGTTTCTTTGGCTTTGCAGAAGGTTGTCAGTTTAATAAGATCCCACTTGTCTATCTTCTCTCTTATGACCTGTGGGTTTCGGGTTTTGTTCAGAAATTGAATGCCATTTCCGATTTCTATAAGGTTATTTCCTTCCTTTTCTAAGGTTCTTATGGTTTGAGGTTTTACATTTAGGTCTCTGATCCATTTGGAGTTAACCTTTGTGCATAGGGATAGATAGGGGTCCTGTTTCAATCTTCTGCATGTGGTCAGCCAGTTTTCCCAGCACCATTTACTGAATAGGTTCTCCTCTCCCCAGTGGTAGGTAGTGGGGGCTTTGTCGAAGATGAGTTGGTTGAGAAATTGAGGTTTTGCTTCTAGAATCTCAATTCTATTCCATTGATCTATATGCCAGTTCCTGTACCAATACCAAGCTGTTTTGATGATTGTAGCTTTATAGTAAAGTTTGAAGTCTGGTAATGTGATACCACCTGCTTTGTTTTTTTTTTTTGCTGAGGATTGTTCTGGCTATTCTTGGACGTTTGTGTTTCCATATGAATTCCTGTGTTGTTTTTTCCAGGTCTGAGAAGAATGTTGCTGGTGATTTGATGGGTATTGCATTGAATTTGTAGATTGCCTTAGGTAAGATGGACATCTTCACAATGTTGATTCTTCCAATCCATGAGCTTGGGATATTTTACCACTTGTTTGTGTCATCTTTGATTTCTTTGAGATGTGTTTTGTAATTTTCATTGTAAAGGTCTTTCACATCTCTGGTTAGGAAGATGCCAAGGTATTTCATTTTGTGTGTGGCTATTGCGAATGGAATTGTGTTTTTTATTTGGGTTTCTGTTTGTTTATTATTGGTGTAGAGAAATGCGATTGTCTTTTGTACATTTATTTTGTATCCTGAGACTTTGCCAAAGGCCTTTATCAGTGTAAGGAGGTTTTTGACAGTTTCTCTTGGGTTTTCAAGGTACACAATCATATCATCTGCAAAGAGAGATAACTTGACTTCCTCTTTTCCTATTTGAATACCCCTGATTGCCTCCTCTTCTCTGATTCTGATCGAACCAGGACTTCCAATACCATGTTCAACAGGAGAGAGAGAGTGGGCATCCTTGTCTAGTTCCAGTTTTCAGGGGAAATGGTTCCAATTTTTGTCCATTTAGGAGTATGCTGGCTGTGGGTTTCTCGTAGATGGCTTTTACTATTTTGAGGTATGTTCCCCATATGCCTAGAT